AGCAGGACTCAAAGTCTGAATAATTATATTTATTTTATGCCCCAGTGATGTTTTTTTCAAACATCCCATTCAGCTGCACTTCTTTCGTCTTTGTGACGAGCAGACGACTGTATTCAGAGAGGGCCGAGGACTTTTTTGTTGTACAGTTATTTTATTTTCAACTTTAATTTATATATTTTATCTTATTCTTTCCCAGTTAAATTTACCCTTCATTCTAATTTGTTGTTGTACAGTTATTTCATTCTACCTCGCAAACGGAGGGCGCCCTTACTCCCAGCAAATGGGCGATAGAAAACCGATCGGTGCCTGTACCATTCCCAATATGGGCTGGCATGACATCGGGTCAACATGCGCGTGATGGCGCCCCCCACCACGATGCCGCCCCGGGCAACCGCCCGTGTCGCCCGTATCAAAAACCGCTACTGTACCAACATCACTAATCTACTGCAGAATTGCAATCTGCAGAATTCTTCATGTGAACATTATAACACATCCGTATTTTGCTTCTTAAAGGTTATAATATGACCTCTGTGTTCCATGTAGCTTTTCTTCTTTTGTTTGCAAAGTTAAATAACCAACTGGGCAAAGACATCAAAGAACCTATAACTCAGTGTTTTTGAGTCTAAATAATTAAATTGGTATTAGTTAGCAATCTCCACTGTTAAATTAGAATAACATCTATGCTGCATTTTTCTTTTAGTCCTGATGGGATTCTATTAAAACTAGTTTGAAAACATGTTGTTTCAGTTTTAATTTTGTGTATTTGTTTGAAATTTTAGTGTTATTAAATTGCTTTATTGATTTTTGTATCATATATTTAATGGAATATTCTGTGAAGCTGTTTAATTCTATTGCTGAAATATTTTAGGCTGCAAATCATTTTCTTCAAGAACAGATGTAAAATGTTTGTTTTGTTTTTTTGTCTTTGATGACCAGTGACTGTTTCAAATGTCAGCAGAGTATGCTTTAACCATGTAATCACTCTGTGTGGTAGTTCTTGACGACAGCTTAATTTGTTGCACTGAATGAAAAACAAAACTGACTGTGATTCATGAGAAATGAAAGTCACCGACGACCACACAAAATGTATGTAACCGTTATTGCCACATCCATTCTATCTTACATCATATATCAATCAAAACCAGACACACCAGTTTTCAGTGGTATATTATTAACTTGCACGTTTCCCCTTATCTTTTCAAAAAAGGTAATAAAAAGACAGAAATCTGTATTTTCAACTATCAGTGCATCAAAACTGAAACACAGTCAAGAATGACTTGAATTTAAAAACTATTCTTGCATTTTTATTAGACATGTGCTGAGAGAAGACACTTTCTTTTCCTGCTCACCACCTCTGCACAGGCTGTAACTTTATCTGTAAGTATCAGAATTCCTGAGGAGAGTCCCAGGACACTATAGAACAAGCAGGACTCAAAGTCTGAATAATTATATTTATTTTATGCCCCTTTGATGTTTTTTTCAAACATCCCATTCAGCTGCACTTCTTTCGTCTTTGTGTGATCTGATCAGTGAAATAAAACTGTACATAAGAGCAGTTAAACACGTGTCAGCAGAGCAGACGACTGTATTCAGAGAGGGCAGAGGACTTTTTCACACCATCCCAGATACGAGCTGCATAGTGAAACCTGTGAAAACAAAGAAAGTTAAGACAGGAAACAGAGGGATAAACTTAAACGAAATCCCAATAATGTCTCAAGATTTCACAAAATTATGGTGACATAATAAAAAGAAAAAAAAATCCAAATAGTATGTATTTCTGCAACAACCTTACTTATTAACACTTTTACTTCCCATGCCTATATGGATTGGAAATATATGTTTCTTTTCACTGTAGTATTTAATTTTCAGTTGATATTGTTTTAAGCATGTTGAGAAAAAAACCCCTGATATCCCACAGCAAGAAATATTTTACACCACTCTGAAAGTTTTGTGCTTGCAGGTACATGCAGCAGGTTTCACCATGCCTCAGAAAACTATTTCACAGCAAACAACCAGCGCTCATTTTCTGTTGTAAAAAAACCCAGCAGGTTGTAGTCACTGAAAGTAAAGGGGAACAGAGAGAGACCCCCTCATCTCTAATAGAAATTTGGCATTTCTTCCACAGGGAATAGAAACTGTTTCTATGGGAGTTCAAAAATAATTATATTTATGATGGCTTTGTTGAGCAAAACAGTTTAAAACGTAAAATTGATTCTCAACCTGAGTGCAGGATGTATTTCCTCATTTATACTTGGTTGTCTTGCTTTATTCCCACGGATCGTTTGCGTATAAATAGTACTGATATGATGTTTACCAGTTTTTCTCAGTGAGAATAGTGTGTGACAGCTGACAGCGGGGCATGGCCGGTGTTTGGCTGCAGAGTTTTGAAACCATGGTGGAAAAGGCCGGGTGTCCTCTATAGCCGGGGAGCAGAGAGAACAGTGGGTACGTTCCTGACCCTAAACAATATACAAAGATTTATTTACTTGTCACACAACAGGCCTCAGAAGTTTTACCTTATCAGAAGAAAAGATTTTATAACCTGCTTTGGTCAAATTTCCCGGCGGTGCTGGACCAAGGCCAGGAAGATCGTGAAGGACCTCAGCCATCC